CAGGCAAACTGACTACTGGGAGAATCCTGTCTAATACCAGGCAAACTGACTACTGGGAGAATCCTGTCTAATACCAGGCAAACTGACTACTGGGAGTAGTCATGAAACCTCGAGGGCACCAGAGGAAGACTACCAAACAACCTAGGCAGACACAAGATAAAGCTAGGCAGACCTCTAGAAGGGCTAAAAATAAAAAATAAAACAGCATTGAATGTAATAAAACGCCATTTTCTGAGCGAGTCCCGGATGCTCCCCGGAGCTTACTAGGCTGATATGCTAATGTCAGACTTTGGGATCAGTCATGTGTATGGAGTTCTTATGGGCCTACCGGGGCCCACGAGCCAGAACCTGACCCCCTCTAGAGAGGCAAGGGAAGCAATGGCCTATAGAAACCCCGGTGTGATTGGAAGCATTCTATGTCTGCCATCGACCGGGTTAAGCACCCAGAGAGATAGGCGTCCCAAAACAAACCCCTATTCTGGTGAAAATTGTAACCAAAAGCCGAATGAGTGAATAGAACTCCCCAAACAAAAACGACCAAACTAGTATAACGTCACCCGTCGTCTCGCCGATGTGTGCACAGCTCCCCCCTCCCTGGGAGGGAAAAGGGGTAGCCCCAGACCCACCGTGCCGGCGATCCACACCCCAATTCTGAGACTGGATGTCAAAACACGCGAAAAAAACGCCGACCGGAGGGTGGGAGGGATGCCGGGGAGCCTCCGGGACTCACCCAGAAAATGGCGTTCCATTACATTCAACGCTGGTTTTCTGGGGGGAGCCCCTATGGCTCCCAGGAGCTAACTACCCACAGAGGAAAAGAATAGGGACTTACCCGGAAGGCGGTTGCTGCTCACTCCTCAACCTGAAGTCGAGACAACTGGCTGCATCCGCCAACCCAAAGCGACACAGGCCCAACTGGGCCCAGGAACGTTTACAAGGTAATGAGCAGCCAGGACCCTGTTCGACCGCCAAAATCCCCGCGCCCGAATGTCAGCCCAGGACATATTGCCAAAGACAGAGGCAAGAGCCGCGAACTTGCGGACGTCATGGCAAACGGGGATAGACCCGAGGCTGGCAAGCTTTAATAACCCTGCGGACGACCTGGGAGACCCGCACCCTCGAACAGGACAGAAGGGAAACCGGATCAACCCAAAGCGCGTCCACGGACACAGAAGCTGTGGCAGATCTGGATCCGAAGAGGCCACAACAAAACGAGGGGAAGAAAGAAAAGAGAGCACTCTGTCCAAAGACCAGGATGGCTCAGGCAGCGCATGAGCAGGTCAGAGGTGAAACAATGACGGAGACAGCTTGCGAAATGGCGCAGACGTAACATCAATACCGAAAGCAAGCTGAAGCGGCTTGAAGCACGATACGAGGCGACAATGTTAGGCATAAGGAGATGGTCCTGGAACAACCAAGAGTGAAAGGACAACACCACCCTAACACAAAGCGAAGTACAACGACGAAGACGTAAGAAGAACCGGAAGGACCGCCAGGAAACTTCATACTGCCGCCGAGACGAAGCCCGCAGGTAGGACCTGCCACCTAATAAGGAAGCCACCTAATCACCATAGAGATGATGATAAATTCGAGTCAAATATACCATACGTGAAGACTTTAGGAGAAGATCGAACCCTCCACGTGACGTACCGGTTCGATCTGCTGGAAGAGGCGGAGATGCGGAAAAATCTCCGGGTTCGGACACCAAGCAAGCAGCGACTGAAACCACGGCTGGGCCGGTCACCAAGAGGCCAAGAGGACAACTCTCCCCTGGTAAGTGTCCAAGCAAGTCAGCTGAACCGGGGGGAAAGAGGTACAGGAACCCCCACCTTGCCCAGTCCTGCCGAAAGGCGTCGACCCTGACAGCCTCGCAGTCGGAAAAGGGCACCACATAAAGGGAAAGGCGCCGCAACCACGCCGACGCGAAGAAGTCCACCTCGAGGTGTCCGAACATCTGGCAAAGCCAATGGAAGGAGTCGGCGTCGACCGTCCATTCCGTGGAGAGGGGAACGAAACGAGACAGGCCGTCGGCCAAGACGTTGGACACTCCCTGCATGTGAACTGCCAGGAAAGCCAAACTCCGAGAACTCAGCAGACGAGTCAACCAAAGCGACCAGCACCAAAGAGCAAAAGACCACATCGAACTTGGTGATGCCGAGTGATGCTCACCAAGCCAGCCATCGAACTTCTGGCCGGCTTGGTGAGCACTAGTCACAAAGCCCCAGCCGAGAGATGATGCGTCCATGAACACATCGAGCGAGGGATCGGGTAGGCGCCAAGACATTGAACCTTAAAAAAAACAAAGAGGAAGCCAGTGACACAGTAGCCGACACAAGGCCCCCAGGAAGTCGAACCCAACAATCGCGAGAGGCAGAAGGGACGTTCCCGAAGGAACCAGAACAGCCAACGAAGCCAAACCCGACCCCTGTGGGTAGACCATTATCACAAAGTTCAGGCTCGCGCACAGACCTTCGAGCAACCACCGGGTAACCCGGGAGCCCCAGAAACAAGCACATGTGGGATCGTAGCCGAAGGAGACACTCCAGAGGAAGAGACAAGGAAACGGTTCGAGAGTCCCACACAAGACCCATCCAGGTTCGAACCTGGGAGAGAACTTGATGGGATTTCCGCCAGTTCACCAGGAACCCGAACCCGGCTAGCTGGGAAAGCACCAAACCCCTAGCGAGCAAACATGCGGACCAACTGGGAGCCCAAACCAGCCAGTTGTCGAGGTAAGCCAACACCCAAACACCTAACAGATACAGACGGGCCACCACGACCCGGATGAAGTGTGTGAACACGCGAGGTGCCAGGTTCAACCCGAAAGGGACAACGAAAGTGGTAATTCTGAAGCCCCAAAACAAAACTGAGCCAATCCCCGAACACCAGATGAATAGGGACGTGCCAATACGCATCCTTGAGGTCTAGGGAAATTATCCAAGCTTCTGGCTCCGATCCTAGGACAAAGTGGTCATCAGAAAGGAGGGGCAAAAAACCCAGGGGTTCAGATGGGACAAGTCCAGAATGAACCACAGGTCTGCAGGGTCCCGTTTTGGAACGGGAAAAAGGAAGGAAACCCACCTGAGAGACGTTGTCGTTTCGACCACGCCTAAGCACACCCACTCTAAGACGACTTGACAAAGCACAGAAGAGGCCTGCCCTGCCAGCCCCGAATCCCCTGAAGGAGGAAGAGCCACCCAATGCCACCCAACGCCACCGAAGGCTGGGTGAAACGACCTGAAAAGCCCGAGATTCGTGGGACCAGGCGTGAGCAAACAGAGCAAGCCCCCATCGCCCCGTCAATGGGGCGAACGAGGGCTACGTTCGCGAAATACGAGAGGGCAAAAGAGCCAATGCCCCGTACGAGAACCCGACCTGCACACACAGCGAGCACCACATCGACCAGGCACAGCCGAGGCCAAAGCCAGCACCGACTTCGAAACTGGCACCTGTGGCCCACCTCGACGAGCGGAACTACGGGCCCTAACACGACCCCTCCAGGAGGAACCCACCCGGGACCCCTTGGAGAACCAACAAATCAGACATAGGGCGGCAGCTGAAGGAAGCCGCTTGCATATATTGTTCGACTGCAGAAGCTGCAATTAATAAAAGCCAAAAAGGCGAAGACAATCTAAGAGCCACGGTCCAAGCAGATTCCAAGGAGGAAGCAAACACCACCTGCCGACGAGCGAGGCGCACAGCGAAAAACAGCAACAGTGTATCCCTCAGGATCAATGCAAACAACTTCAAAAGGCACAGACGGATACAAAATCCACAAACCCTGTAACAACAGAACCCGCAGAGAAGGTACAAAAACCCAAGCAGGATTAAAGGGGTCCAAGAACCCTAGGCTAACTTCCCTCCAGCCCCAGGAGCCTCCAATCCAGGCCCCGGGACTGGGCCGTCCTCTATGCCCTCCAATCCCTGAAGAAAAGGAAGAACCCAGGGGAAAGGCAGCAAAGAAGGCCTGCTGGGAAGACCCTGCAGCCTCAGCAGGAGGACCAAGCTCAAATGCCTCCATCTTTATTTCGAATTGGGCAGCCCCCGGAGCTGCCCGTGTTTCATCACCATCTAAACCCTGCCCCGACTCCGAAATCCTCAGAAGTTTAGGAGCCGGCAGCAGGAAGGAGGGAGGAGCAGGGCAAACCAGACCCACCAGGGAAGGTCCTGAAGGCGCGGACAGAACCAAGGCTGAAGCAACCAACGCCCCCAGGTCCAGATCCCTAAAACCAAAACAGGGTAGCCCAGGGGCATACAAGAGGGCAACCAGGCAGTTGCCCTCTCGTACTCCTGTAGAGCGGGCAATACGAGAGGGCAGCCCCAGGGCATGTAGCACGTTGCAGCCTATACTTACTATGCAACACGAATGCCGCCTGACCTTTAAGAACTTCCGAAGAAGAATGGGTAAACTGGAGTACGAGCAGGGAACAGGTCTCGCAAGACTCTGGGTCAAAAGTGTCATCAACTCAAGAAGCAGCATGTCAGAGGCAAAAACAGGTGATCGTCACCCTGTTTTGGGGCAATGAACAACCCTCAAACTCGCTCAAAGCGAGATGGGACTCTGAAGATGCATGCATTGGTCGACCAAGTCCCAAAGGGGTTTCCAGGACCCGCAGAGGGAAGCAGCCCTACAGGAAGCCCAGGCAATGGTGCTGCAAAGTCGGTTGTGCCCGAATGGTAATATCAAAATGTCAAAAAATATATAACTGGGCAAAATGAACCCCACATGAAGTGCACAAAGGGCAGGGTCAATACCAACGACAGAAACAGAATTTGGTCCACTCAATTGAGGCAAAGGGAGTCTTGGGATACTGGATAGCTAATCAGGCAGCAAGATCAGGGAGCCACTAAGGTAATGCCCTCCAGGAATATCTATACAGAAAGACATTTATATATCCACATGCCCCTACTGTATAGTTTTCCATTCATGCTACTATGAAATATCATGTGCCTTTACAGTACTTACAAAATATTTTCAAAGTGATACAAGTGTAACTCACACTTGAAAAGTCTTGTTCCAACGCGGATTCTTTGCTCCATTTACATCTGTTTGTGTTTCGTAGACATAATGGCCCAGTCTCACTCGTACATATGGATCCATGCGTGTCATTCCATAGTTCTTATTCAAAACTGCAGACACAATAGTCATCTGAAATAGTATAAAAATAAAAATATAGAAATAAATACAGTTACCCAGCAATAAATGTGTCACTTCCAACTATGAAATTTGTTTTCCCACACAACCCAATCAGAGACAGGCACATGACCTAGGAAGAAACCGGAGAAGGATGTAGTGAAATTCCAATTTCTGGGTGAAACCCCAGAGGATCCCTGAAACTACAATGCCGAGATAGATAGATATATATATATATATATATATATATATATATATATATATATATATATATATATATATATATATATATATATATATATATATATATATATATATATATATATATATATATATATATATATATATATATATATATATATATATATATATATATATATATATATATATATATATATATATATATATATATATATATATATATATATATATATATATATATATATATATATATATATATATATATATATATATATATATATATATATATATATATATATATATATATATATATATACTGTACATACAGTGGTACCTCGCATAACGATCGCCTCATAAGGCAAACATTTTGGGTAACGACCGGGGACAAATCGTCCCGTATGGAGAACGCTCGTTTGAGTAACGTCAACACCACATGGTGGGGTTGCACTGCTTCTTGCACATTCTTGGACGCCTCCGACGATGCAAATATATTATGTTGTTCTTGTATAAAGATGCTAATGATGCTGGGATATAAAGGGGTGACTGCTGAGATGTTGCAAAGCATTGACGTTTTTGTATAATAAAGAAATGAAATTTCTGAAATACAACAAATGTCAAAAAAGTTCGCTCGGTGTTCGGCAGGTAGGCTGCTCCATTATAATAATCCTTCATTTCAAATGTGTTCTATTTGTTTTGTATTTGTCATTTACGTCTCAATAATGGAGCAGCCTACCGTACATATACTGCACAAATCTTTATGACATTTTTCTTTCTTCAAATTTGTTCAATGTTTATTTTTCATTTGTCTTATAGCAAAAGGTTCATTCAGTGGTCGGCAGGTAAGCTGCTCTATGTTTCTTATATATAAAAAAAAAAAATAAAAAAATTAAGAATTTTGAACACCAGAACGAATGTCAAAAAGGTTCGTTCGGTTGTCTACAGGTAGGCTGCTCCATGTTTCTTAAATAAAAAAAAAAACAGTTTAAACACTTTGAAGAATGGATAGATGCCATAAAGGTTCGTTCAGTGTTAGTCGGGTAAGCTGCTCCATTATCGAGACGTAAATGAAAAATACAAAACATGTGGAACACATTTGAAACAAAGAAAGATTATTATATTGGAGCAGCCTACCCGTCAAACACTGAACGAACCTTTATGGCATTTATCAATTTTTCAAATTGTTTCAACTTTTTTTTATTTTTCATTTTTTTTGATTTAAGAAACATGGAGCAGCCTGCCTGCTGACCACCGAACGAACATTTTGCTATAAGACAAATGAAAAATAAATATTCAACAAATTTGAAGAAAGAAAAATGTCATAAAGGTTTGTGCAGTGTATGTACGGTAGGCTGCTCCATCATTTAAAACATCCAATATCATATTGATGTTTTTCGGTGGTAGAACGGATTAATTTGATTACCATTAACCCTTTAACTGTACGGCCTATAAATATGACACCCCCCCCCCCCCCAGTGCACAAGAAATAAATTCTCGAAAAAAATTCTTTTTAGTTCTGAAAGTGTCAAAAACCCCTCCCTGTATATGGGTATAGCAACGAAATTTCGAAATTTTACTTACTTTGGCTGCTATGGGGTCCGTAAGGTGGCGTGTAACATCATCATTCCCTGTGCACCCGTGCTGTAGGCTCCCGGGGCCGGTGGGGCGCTCGGGGCAGGGCACGCGAGTTGCCGCGAATATATTTTTGTTCATTTTTTGCGCACAGTTCCAAATACATTTTATTTGTTTTTATGCGCTAATTCTATGTATAATGAACACGTACACCATATTATGGCAGTAAAACATCCATACTGTCCAAGGACACTGTGTTACGTCCATGACACTTGTGTACACATATGTTGCACATACTGTCTCCACTCGATCATCCGGACTATATGGGAAGGACCCCCAGCCGGATTATCACATTTTTCGGATAATGGTACTTTTTCACCTACGAGTCTAAAAGTGACCATTTCCAACTATTTTTATACTACAAACAACATAATTTGAATTGCCTTGCCACATACAATTATTAAATATTCAACTAGAAACCTCAACTTACCTTGTTGGTGTTCGTCTTCTAGATTGATGCCACACATCTTGAAGTTAAAAATTCTTAACAATTTACGTAACCTATACTAACACAACACTAAAATTAACATTTAAAATTACTGTACAGTTCATTAAGCTAAGTTAGTTTTGACTGCCAGCTGCTGAAGCCTCACTGGTTGAGGGCATTTGGGTTGCCTGTGAGGCCTCACTTGTTGAAGGTGCTTGCTTGCACCTCACTTGTTGAAGGTGCTTGCTTGCACCTCACTTGTTGAAGGCGCTTGGCTTGCCTGTGACACCTCACTTGTTAAAGGCGCTTGCTTGCGCCTCACTTGTTGAAAGCGCTTGGCTTGCCTGTGGCGTGTCACTTGTTGAAAGCGCTTGGTTTGCCTATAATGCCTCACTTGTTGAAGGAGCTTGGCTTGCCTGTGGCGCCTCACTTGTTGAAGGCGCTTGGCTGCCTGTGACGCCTCACTGTTTGAACAACACGTAACTTGTCTTTAATTGCTAGGACAATCTTCTTCCTCTTAACACTTCCAGAACGATTGATGCTGCTACCAGACATATTCTTGGCCAAAAATGTTCAAAATTACTATGAAAATTAAGAAAGTTATTTAAAAAAATATTTCACTAATGGCGCAACACTGTGAGGCCGCACTGGTTGAGGTGTATAACTGTGACTTGTCTTTAATTGTTAGGACAACTTTCTTCCTCTTAACACCTCCAGAACGATTGATGCTGCTACCAGACATAGTCTTGGCCAAAAATGTTCAAAGTTACTATGAAAATAAAAAAGTTATTTAAAAAAATATTTCACTAATGGCGCAGCACTGTGTATAACACGAGGGACGGACGCACATGGGTTGACCAGTGTTGGACAGGTCCACTTGGGGCAGCCATAGCGTTACGTAGGCCGCCAGGAGGAAAAAAATTCACAATATTTTTGAAGGAAACTTCAGCCTGTGCACAATGCTTTTAGGAAACTTATTTATTTGTTATTACATAATTACTAGTAGTTATTTTATTTGTTTTTGGCTATGATTAATTGTTCTAAAATTAATGGTAATTCCTGTACCCAGGTAGTCCCTCCTGACGCACCCCTCCCACCCTCCCAACACCACCCACCCCACCCCCACCTACACCATGCGCCTCGAGTCTCGGGCAGACGGGATTAATACCGTATGGCCCGCCTCATGTTTTCATATACGGACAAAGGCACGATTATCCGGGGGACTGACCGGATAGTGTAATTTCTGCAGAAAACCTGCTTTAATCCGGTCCCTGTGGCTATTTTGGCCGGATATTGTGATAACTTTATCCGTTCACGATTTTGGCCGTATAAGGGCGTTTTTCGGATGTTCGAATCCCGGATAATCGCGGGGTTACAGTATTTACCATGTACCATGCGTTGCACAGTTAAAGGGTTAATGTTAATGGGGGCATTCGTTTTGTATGACGTCCATTTCACATGACGACGACGGCGCCGGAACGGATTAAATTCGTTATTCGAGGTACCACTGTGTATGTATATATGTATGTATGTATAATATATATATATATATATATATATATATATATATATATATATATATATATATATATATATATATATATATATATATATTCAAGGAAGGGGGTGGTAGGAGAAAAGCACACAGAAACTGTATTGGAGGGGATCTAAACATTCCCTCTAATGCGTTATGCGTGGTTTCCTCCGAGGCTATGGGTCCCCCTTCTTCCAGCTAGAGGTGGTACTCCCTTCCTATTTATATATATATATACATACATACATACATACATACATACACACACACACACACACACACACACACACACACACACACACACACACACACACACACACACACACACACACACACACACACACACACACACACACACACACACACACACACACACACACACACACACACACACACACACACACACACACACACACACACACACACACACACACACACACACACACACACACACACACACACACACACACACACACACACACACACACACACACACACACACACACACACACACACACACACACACACACACACACACACACACACACACACACACACACACACACACACACACACACACACACACACACACACACACACACACACACACACACACACACACACACACACACACACACACACACACACACACACACACACACACACACACACACACACACACACACACACACACACACACACACACACACACACACACACACACACACACACACACACACACACACACACACACACACACACACACACACACACACACACACACACACACACACACACACACACACACACACACACACACACACACACACACACACACACACACACACACACACACACACACACACACACACACACACACACACACACACACACACACACACACACACACACACACACACACACACACACACACACACACACACACACACACACACACACACACACACACACACACACACACACACACACACACACACACACACACACACACACACACACACACACACACACACACACACACACACACACACACACACACACACACACACACACACACACACACACACACACACACACACACACACACACACACACACACACACACACACACACACACACACACACACACACACACACACACACACACACACACACACACACACACACACACACACACACACACACACACACACACACACACAC